AAAAAAAAAAAAAAAGACTATCAGGATGAGTGAGTTATGTTCAGAAGACCTTTGTAGCCTTAGAAACAGTACCTGCTCATTCTATTATTTTCTCAAAAAGCAAGTTTCACATGTTTCAGTGAGCTTGATTTTCTAAATATAATTATATGATACATGAAAAGCTGCTTTTAAAAGTTGGTTGTAGCTCAAACGATAGCTATAGACATTAAAAACCTATGTATTTATACAGCTTATAATACTTAGTAAAATTACTTTCAGAACACTGTAGGAGTTTTTCCCTTTTTTATAAGTGTAAAAAAATTGTTTATTTTATTTTGGTTTGCTTACAGAGTTCGTATACATTATGTTTCACACTATCCTTCATTCACACTGTGTTTCATTTGAGAATGTATTTTTATAAAACAAAATTTATTTAACTTCACAAACTTTTTTGATGTTCTTTGCAATTATTTTGTCTTTTCAAGAGGTTGACATTGTAGGAAATATTCAAGCAACTTCTCCGTGTTTACATCCTACTGATCTTCAGAAAGTTGCAGACATGATTCGAGAAGAAGGATATGATTCTGTTTTCTCTGTTGTGAGACGTCATCAATTTAGATGGAGTGAAATTCAGAAAGGAGGTAATCTATTACCAGTCTCTATTTTAGCTTATTGAGAGAATTGGGTTGGGTTTTTTTCCATGTGCAAATATTCTTTAGTAGTCAGGGTATAAAGGAATAATGAAAACGAAGATGTATTTGCTATAGTAGTAAACGACGTGTATGTTATTGTTGTTGATTACTATTGAGTCAAGTATGACTCATAAAGATCCTATGAACAAAAAGCCTGAAGTCTTTCTATTACTGTTGACATTTATCAAAGTTCATACACTTTCCAGAGTTAAGCTGTTTAGGAAGTAGATGCCACTCCTGCTTCCAAAAATGACGTGTATAATCAGGTCTAAATCGTGTTATGATTGAGAGAAGATAGAGAAGCCTAATTAGTTTTTTGCTTTACTTTTTATAAACGAACATTCTAACCTATTTGATTTTTTTACATAGATATAGCATTTCTATAGACCAAATAATTTCATCTTTGTTCTAAAACTTGCCTCATAAACTCCATGCAAATAAATCATATGGGAATAGGAAGCTTACATCAAAGAGTTTTCAAGAATCTCAAGAATAAAATTGTCAGATTACTTCTTTAAAAGGTTTCACTGCACTGTAACTTTTAATAAGATAAACTACCAAAATGCATACCTAATAGAGAAACAAATTAGGTAACAAACAGGTAAATGTAGCACACATGGAGAAAGATAGTATAGCTTCTGTTAAGTGCAGTGACGTTGTTAAATATGAGAACGTATCCTAAATGTTCTACATATATGTGACTTAAAGGATTTAATGTTGTTATATGCCATCAAACTGGAAGCTGACCCTCCAGCAGGGTTTTAAAGACAGGAGGAGATTGCCCATCTTTCTCCCCAGGTAGATTCAAACTGTCTGTCTTTGATTTGGCTTCTCAATTCCGTACCCACTAGGCCACCAGAGCTCCCTAAAGGAGATAATAAGTGGCTTAATTTCTTTGGATTGTCATAACAAAATATCATAAAGTAGATGGTTTTAAAGAACAGAAATGGTCTTTATTCTCACATAGATCTGCATGCTGAAAGTCCAAATTCAGGGCTATTCTTTCTTGACTCTTAAGGGGTCCTGGTCATGTATTATGCAACATTCTGGACAGCAGACCTCTGGCAATTTGAATCCTGAGTCCTGTGAGGGAGAAGGATGGGTGATCTCTTACAGCCTCAGAATTCTAGACAGTGAGTCAGAATTGACTTAACCACAATGGCGTTTTGGGGATTGGCTCTAGAAGTGTCTGTCTTTTCTCTTTCAACTTCTATAACCTGGAGTATTTCTTGATACTGTTTTGTACACATATTCTCATATTCTGTTTTCTCTGAGTTAGCCCCTCTTTCTGTGTGTTCTCCTTATTTATAAGACACTACTTATGGGGTTATGAGTTGAGAGCAACTCTGCTTTTGTGTTATTTAACTGATAATATCTTCAGGAAAAAGATTTCTTTTTCCACCCAAAAGTCCCAGTTACAGATTCAAGGGTTAGGACTTCAGTTAGAACTATTATAGTGACATAATTTAATCTATAAAAATGAGAAAGATACTGTCAAATTGAAGAAGGTAGCAGAACAATTAAAATAACCTAGAGGTTACAGAGAAAAACATATTCCTCAAATATAAATGTTACCAAAATCCATAAAATATATTGATGAATGCCTTTATTGATTGATTAAATCAGTAACTTTTCATTGAGGTCTTCTTTTTCCTGGGTTTTATACTCTCAGTTGTCAGAGACAATAAATCACATTGGAGATCACCAGTCTTTCTCCCATGAAGGAGCTTGTGGATTTGAACCATATACCTTTAGGTTAGCAGTGCAAGTCCTTACCACTAAGCCACCAGAACTTCCTGGGTTTTATATTAAGCAGTATATATAAAATGTTATGCTTCTTCAAATCTTAGAAACAAAGCTTTAGGAAGATTTATTAAACTTAAAAACAAATTTTAGAAGCACATAAAGAATTCCCAGAGTCAATCTGAATATTGAGCTTTTTACCCCATGGTTAAAACTAAATAAGCCCAAAGAATATAGTTAAATAGATGATAGAGTCATAATTAATATATTTGTCAGTAATTTTTGAAGAAAATTAGAAATGCTTGAATACAGTTGCATTTCTAGATGATGTGTCCCATTGGAACCAACATCAAACAGTGCTGCTGATAGACAGTGATTCTAAACAGAGTTACGTATTTGATTCTTCTGTTCTTATATTCCTTATAAAATCATTACTGCTCATAGTGAATTCATTAGTGCTTTAAAAAATTATTCCATTTTATTTCTATAACTCTTTTTCTCCAGTCACTTCTCTAGAACAGCAATGTGGTAACCACTGCAACTGCTACATTTGAAACATGGCTAGTCCAAATTGAGATAAGCTATGAATGTGAAGCCTATACTGGTCTTCTTACTATACCATTCCTTACATTATGTATTTTTGTTATTGTTCTTATTTGGATTTTTTATGTTTTGTTTTGATGACTTCTTTACCGAGTGTATTGTCCTTCTCGGATCTGGTCCCTCCTGATAGCACTCACAGTACATAAAATGATCTCTCACCATCCTCACTTCTAAGGGACATCTAGCAGTGTGTGACTAAGCAAAAAACATTTGATTATTTGGATTTCAGGTATGCTAGGTTACATAAAATATGTTGTAAAAATTAGATCTATTGATTTCCCTTTCCTTTTTTTAATATTACTGTGTTGTTGTTAACTGCTGTCATGTTGGGTCTTATGTCCTTAAAACACAAGCAAACACTGCCTCATCTTGTGCCTTCTCAAAATCACTCTTTGAGATCCCTGTTCCAGCTACTGTGTCTGTCCCTCTTATTGAGTTTCTTCCTCTTTTTTGCTGATGCTTTACATTACCATGCCTATCCCCTATTTCAGCTGTTGCTCCTTTCTCATAATATGTCCAAAATACATGAGACGAAGTCTAGCCAACCTCCCTTCTAGAAAGCGTTCTGGCTGTACTTACTCCAAGACACATTGTTCATTCTCTTCTAAGTCCAAAGTATATTCAATATTCTTCGCCAGCACCACAATTCAAATGCATTAATTCCTCTTCAGTCTTCCTTATTTTCTTCCAGCTTTTGCAAGCATATGAGGTTATCAAAAAGTACCATGGCTTGGGTTCAGGCTTACTGTAGTACTCAAATTGACATTTCAGACACTTTAAGTACTTTAAAAAGGTCTTTACTAACCATGATTTACTTCTCCAAGACTTATCTCTCTTGATGGCATTTTTAGTAGTGGAGGATCAGCCAAAGAAAGGAAGGGAGGTCCTCAGTGAGATTGATTTACACAACACAGTAATTGCAGCAATATGTTTAAGCATGGCAGAAATTTTGAAGATGATGCAAAACTGGGTCACTAAGTCAGAGCTAACTCTACAGCACCTAAAAACAATAACTAGAAAATTTCAAATTGTGTATGTGACTCACATTATTTTTCTGTTGAACATCTCTGCTGTAAAGATTACATTATGCTGGTAACTCTGGTGACATGTTCTTATTTTGTGCCATCAAGTCAAGTATGACTGACTTCTAGCAAGCCCTGTGAACAACAGCTCTGAATTTTGCACTATTCTGATCCAGCCTAACCATCCCTGCCACACTTGAGTCCATTGTTACATTCATTGTGTCGATTCATTTCGTTGAGGATCTTCCTGTCTTGCGCTAACCCTCCACCTTTCCAAGCATGGTGGATGTCCTTCTCCAAGGACCTGCCCCTCCTGACAACATGCCCAAAGTATTAGAGATAAGAGTTTTTCCATTATTGCCTCTAGGGAGTACTCTGGTTTCATTTTCTCTAGGACAGATCTGTCTGTTCTTTTGATTGTCCATGGATATGCAGTCCACTTCTCCAGCACCACACCTCAAAAGACATCAGTCTCCTTCTGTAATCCCTATTCATTGTCCAACTATCAGATGCATAGCAGATAATAGAAAAGACCATGTCTTGGATCATTACTCTTTAGCACTGTAGAGAAGCCAAGAATGTTCATTGTGGATCCAAGTAAGATGAAATCATTGACAATTACAATAATTTCTTAATTTATCAGGATGCTCAGTGGTATGGATTGTATGTTCCTCGTATCCTGATGCCACATTCTTTTTTTTTTTTCATTTTTTATTATTTTTGTGTGCGTGTACTGTCAAATCAGATCTGACTGGTACAGGAGGAGATTGTCCCTCCTTCCCCGGCAGAGCATCTGGTGGATTTGAACCATTCGCCTCTGGGATTGTAATTGCAGCTCCTTGCCACTAGGCCACCAGAGCTCCCCTCTGATGCCACATTCTTCTTGATTAAAGTCCAGCTTCTTGAGTGATATATTCAGGATAAAGCCAGGAAAGGTATGGGGAAAGAATATATCCATGATATACACGTTTCTTGATTTTGAACCCATGCTCTATTGTAACAGCTGCCTAAGTATAGATTTTGCATGTACATTTAGGCATTCAAGGACTCTAATTCTTGATATTAGCCATACTTTGTTGTGACCCACGCAGTCAAATGTCTTTGCATAATCAGTAAAACACAGATAGACATCATTGTGGAATTCTTTGCATTCTTCCAAGATCCATCTGATGTTAGCAGTGGTATCCCTAATGCCACAGCCTCTTCTAAATCTGACTTGAATTTCTGGCAGTTCTCTGGTGATGTATTATTCTATCCTTGTTTGAATAATCTTTAGTAAGATTGTGCTTGCATGAATATTCCATTCTTCAATAATTTCCGCATTCTGTTAGGTCACTTTTTTGGGGAGTGGGTTATGAATCTCTTCTTGTCAGCTGACCAGGTAGCTGTTCTCCATATTTCTTGGCACAACCTGGGCATTCCCAGGACTGCCTCTCTTTGTTGGAATTTGTCAGTGGATATTCTTCATCTGTAGGAAATAACTCTGCTAACCCAAAGATGGTATTTGAATCCACCAGCAACAACACGGAAGGAAGATGAGTAGTCTTCTCCCATTGCAGTTTTCAGCCTCGGAAACTTGAT